TCGTTTCCTTTTTGGTGCTGGTGACTAAGATCTTGAATGTGACCCAGAGCGTGCTAGTGACCTAAAGTGTGAATGTGACCGAGAGTCTGCTGGTGACCCAGATCGTGAAGGTGACTGAGAGCTATGGTTTAGTTGGTCCAGTTTAATTATTCCATCCCCACGCCTTGTTGCAGTGATAACGTATTCTTGTTTCCTAAATTAAATATTGTTTATAATGAAGAGATATCTATGGAGGTTTTAAATAAATTAAATTTTAGTTAACTTTCATTAAATTAAACTTACAGATAGCGAATATAAATTTTTTGCATTCTAATTTTTTTTTCATCATTAATGGGATTTATTTTATTTAAAATTTCTAATTTCATACGATTTACTGCTGGTGTTTTATTTATCGGTAATCTTACTGTCAATGTGAGGGCTTCATTGCTTGTGTCAAGATGTAATAATCATTGAGCAAAACTGTTTGCTGTTTCGTAAGATATATTTCCCGCATCCCTGTTATTATTTTCATATAAACTAATAAAAGAAATTCTATTATTGTACAACTTAAAAAATGCCGAATACATTATGATTACGCGACGAAAGTCATTTAAATAAAATTGAAGAGCATTCTACATAATTGGTGAATTCACTATGATTCCGCGGGGAAAGTCAAAATCTTTCATCTCAAATATCGCGTGTGCCTTATGTGAAAATGGGGTTGAACATAAATATAATATATAAGTCCCTCATCAAATTCCCGGATGTATGTATGTGGATCCCGTTTTTTGTAAACACGATAATTTTAACGGGTTTTAATGGACACAAGGATTTCAATAAATACTAAAAAAAATTTATAGTTTTTTTTGCAAAAAATTGTTTTTAATAAAACAAAATTTGTAATAGCAAAATTTAAATAATTAATGAAAATTTAGCAAATAAAAGATTCACGTTTTAGCTAAAAAAATTTGTCTTTATTTAAATTTAAGTTTATACATAATATAATTGTATTCCTTGCAATGAAACGAATTGATTGACATATACATATAAATTATGTGTTTTACCCGAAGTTAATTAAAATATTAATTTTTAAGTTTTCAAAAAATTATTTTGAATTAATTAAATAATTTTTAATCTTAAAATGTTTCAAATAAATCAGTTAAATTTTACACAATTAATCAATTTATTTAAATTAAGTTATTTAAATTGGCATCAAAAAGAGGCTATAAGTACTAAATTTCTTACGTCTACTCAAACCTGCAAAAATTCTTTGAAAACTAAAAAAAGTTTTTCATTATTCAGTTATTTGCATATTACTCACTCTCAGTAAATGTAATTTCATACTTATGTACACAAAAGTTAAAGTTACTATAAAATTCTCTGCAAATCATAAAAAATCGAACCTTTTGTCTCAAAAATTTTATAAGTTATGATTGTTATGTTTTGTGAAAGCAAAGAAAATGGTTACCATAGAAGATAAGCTGGAAGTTAATGTAAAGAATATTGTCGAATACGATACCGATGATGTCAGGTTAGCCAATGCATTACGCTCTACACGTAAAAGATATATATAGAACTTTAGAAGACAATTCCAGAAATATCGTTCAGTTACCAAGTTTTTCAAATATTAAATCCCTAAGGAGGATGAGATTAAGTAGTAAGAGTGTCTAATGTCTATAATTTCCATTTTTGTTTTGAATATACAAACTTCAAGTAATTCAGTAATTCTTTAAACTATTTTTCATCAAACTAGAATGCTAATTAAGAAATTGTTATAAATGCAATTTCACTACTCGATTATAAAATCTGACTGTCTATAGAAGAATATGGTGAAAAAGTTACAGAACAAGTTACATCATCGCTCTTAGGACGAAAATTAGATAAAGAAGAAGGAAAAATTACAAGACATTTACTGATTCAACCTCGGGGTAGTCAGAAACTTCACATCACTGTCAGCCAAGATACAACTAAAAATGCATTAAGGGAGTTAGTTCTGAATGCAGAAGATTTTCTGAAAAATCAAAATAATTTTCATTTAAGTAAAAACAAAATTATTGGGATCGCTGTGGCTATTTGTGTCGGTACAAAGAATAAAAAAAATTGTTAAACCTTATCTATAGAAAAAGTTATCGGTTCAAATCCATTGTGTTGATCAATATTTTTATACCACAAAGTTTGATTTTGACAAAGTTAAATCTAATGAGGTCTTCGAAAAAGCTCAAAACAGTTGTTTATTGCACCGATCTAGAGGGTTTAATAAAGTTTATTAAAGAAAAGTAGCAAGTATCTAAATACTATTAAAAATTTGAAATTCATGGAGAAGGAGGTTTCTTGAAAGTTTGCCTGTCTATCCAAACTACTGAAAGACAGGAAATTTCCGCTAAACGCTTTAAAGACTAATGTTAACAAGTTGCTTGTCTTATCATTAGCACAGTGTACTTAAGAAAATTACCAGAATGTATCACTTCTTTAGTCTTCAATGCAAATTCATAACTTTAAGAGCACTATTGCAGCTGTCTAAAACTTTAAAATATCATTGTAAGCATAATGCCACACAGCAGCTCATATCCGTGTACTTGGTGTTATGCGTTAAAAGTCAATCTCCATGAACGTGGGACATCTTTCCAAAAATTTACATGAATTAGTGTGAAGCAGGGTCTCAGAAAAAACAGCCAAACAATATTATAATTTCATTCACCTGACACTTTTACATATTGAAAGAGGACAAATCATTTCTAAAATTTAACCCTTCACCAGAATTACATCTACTACTGGGTGTTGTAAATACCTTCTCCTCAAAATTGTTAATTGAATTCGATACTGAAGCTAATCGATGGGCCGAGTCATGCAACGTTCAACGTGGAACAACGCATGGAGCTTCAGGATTTAAAGGAAATTCGTGTAAGCAACTGCTGAAAAAATTCGATTTATTACGTGCATACATAGGATGTTTGAAGTATGTGAAGGCATTCGTGGATTTTAGAGCTGTTTTAAAAGCATATTTTAGTCATCACCTTCTGAAGTGCATACCGTCTTTTAATTTGCAGAGAATTTTATAGGCTTTAGCTTTTGTGTACATATTTATGGAGTTATATATACCGAGGGTGAGTAATATGCAAAAAATTAAGTTGTGAAGAATATTTTCAGCCTTTTTTAATGACAATTTAAATAACTTAAGTCAATAAAATGCATATTTTTATTCATTTAAAAAAAGTTAACTAAAATTTTCAAAAAAATGAGGTTTATCAAAAACGGCTTGAGCGTTTTTTTTCTTTTTGGGCATATAATTATAGTCAAGCATCCTACAGACAATATCAAGAAAACAGGTGGGGGTCCTTTTTGTTAATTTCATGAACATTTTGCTTCTTTATTATGTAAAGCAAAAATTTTATTTCCGCGTGGAGAAATCAATATATTTCTTTAATTTATTTGATTGATTTTAATTGTTTTATTTAGAACATTTCGAGTTTAATAATGTTTTAAATTAATCAAAATTAATTTTTTGAAAAATTAAAAATTAGAATTTGAATTAATTTTGGGTAAAACATATAATTTATATGTATATATCAATCGATTCATTTCATTGTAAGAAATAAAATTATTTTATGTATAAACTTGAATTTAAGGGGCACTCGCAGTTGTAGCGCCAAAAACAGACCTTTTTTATGAATTTTTTTCTCCAACACCATTAAATTTTTTCAAAATATCGATTTATTATTTAAAAGTACATATATTAAACTTGAATTTAAAAAAAAGAAAAGTTAAAAATATTAAGTGATTTTAAAGTTATCTCCTATCAAAGTGACGTCTGTTTAGAATTATGATGGTGCAGGAAAAGAAATAAATTTGAAAAATAATTAAAATATTAACAAACTTAATTATTTATTGTGATATTTCTCAAAACTGTTACCTTGATTCTGTTACAAGATAGACATCGTAGGTACATTGTAGTTCGTGAAAATTTGGCAACATTGTATTTAAATTATTTAAGATATCTGGCAACTATGGATTTTTGGAAAAGATGAAGGTTAGGTAAATTGTTTTCATTAGGTTTGGTAATGGAGATAATGCAGGTAAAAGGATCGAGGCTTGACGTCATAAAGTAATAAACTTGGGACGGTAGGATTAGGGACATCTGCTAAATCATAAAATCTTCAAAAACGCGACAAAATTCAAGTATATAGAAGTACAAAAACCTAAACATATTTGACAAAATTGTCGAGTCCAAAAAATACTATCTGGTTTTAAAATCTCTACATCGATACCTAGTCGTAAAGTATTTTATTTACAAAAGAATTTCAATATTTCTCAAATTTTTGTCACAAAAAAAATCAAATAAATTTCAAACAGATTTCTCTTTTACATTGAAATTTTGTTACTCCGTAACAGTCACTTTAGGAATATCTGTCAATTACATTAAAATTACAAGAAAGCCTTATTTAAGAAATTGAATATGTTGCATAACCCATTTTACAACGACTGCGAAAACTCAGTTAAAGTGCTAAATTGACCTTCTTATTCGAATATCTTTTATCGAGAAAAGTAAAATCTTCAAAAACCTTTAGAGTTTAGTGATTATTGAAATTATAATCTTATTTTACTAAAATATGTAAATTAATAATATAATTAATTGTAATTAATAATACTATAATTATATAAAGTTACCCTAATTTTCATTGAATTTTTGTTTTTATTTCTGGATTAAAATAATTACTTAAAAGTTTTTCACTATTTCAATTTTATACAAAACCTTAACTTCAGAAATGAAAACAAAAATTTGAAAATTAGAATAATCTTACACGAGCAGAAATAATTCGTGAAATGTTCCAATGCTATAATTGAGGCTCCCAATTCAAGAACCGGTCGCACGCGAGGGCTGACCATTATAAAGCCAGTCAACGAATTTTGATTTTAAATTTTATTGAAATTTTTGTGCGCTGAATGGCTTTATGGCGGCCAGCCCGAGAGTCCGACCGGTACTTGAATTGGGAGCCTCAATTATAACTTTTTCTTAATTCTAGCAAGGGGATGGTGCACCTATCGTAAGAAAGGGAACATGTGCAAATCATATACGAGATATAGAACGCCTACTAAAAGGGGTGCATATTACAATAACTGCACGATCAGAAGAAGAAGTTGAAGTCGATTTAATAATGGAAAAACTTGCTCGTGCTACAGGATCTGCATATAAATTTAATGAACGACGAGGTGAGAATGGAAGTCATAAGAATCCTGTTGGTACTACTTATCGAAGGTAAATTAAATGAATAACAAAAGTTAATACCTTTTATTTTTTTTATTTATATATGAAAAATTCTAAAATAATATTAATGTTAAATATAATTTAGAGTGAATCCAGAGCAAGAAATTAATGCTACTGAACGCGATAAATTTTGGCAAAAGGAAGAAATAGAAGAGAAGGAACGATTGGAACAAGAACGCATTAAAAGTGAACAAAACCGACAAAAATTAGAGAAAGAAATTAGAATGCGCGAAGAAAAAGAAAATCAAATTCGAGAAGAAAAGGTATTTATAGCACAAATTTTATTTAGAAATATGTTTATTGTAACACCTTGAGTCATAAGCTCGACTTAAATGTTGTTTTTAGATGTAGAAATTAAAAAGAAGAAAAATCGTACTTTTAGAAACAGGCTGATCCTAAAATACCATTTATTGGTAACCCAATGAACAAAAAATTCTACAAGTATGAATCCTTAAAACGCATTTTTGGGAGAGTTATGAAGGGGGAAAGGAAAATCAAAAAATCTATTTTTCTCGAAAACTACTGAACCGATTTTAATATGCTTTGGATATGTTATAAATAAAGTTAAAGCAATTCTCAAACTTTTTTTTTGGGCGGGGGTGTTGTAAAGTGGCCACTCTTAATTTTTTTTAAAACATCTTATAATGTCCCCTTTAACATATATTTTTTGCAGATTTTTAGAAATGTAGTTTTTGAGTAATTTAACGAAAACCACCTTCGCGTGACATGTTTTTCGTAAGGGAATATACATTCCTTTCATCGCTTCAGGTACAATTAAAATTTCATTACCAATGAATTTTTCATGAAATACATTTCCATTTCCACATATTATTTTTTTCTTAAAAGATTATGACGCTTCGGTTCAGTACAAAAATATTCGAAGATTTTACTATGCCTTTCAAAACATTTGTTAATTTTTCATTAAAGAATAATCGGAAATTTTTTCACCTTTTAAAACTTCTAAAATATCATTTTTCAAGGATTATAAAAAAACAGTAGTAATGAATTTAATAAAAAAAATGTCCATCTAAGATACCAAGTTTGAAATTATATGAGATATTATGTAGGAAATTATATAGGAAATTATATGGGAAATTCCAATATAGATGTAGATAATCATAGTTCCACTCTTACGCCGCCAGATGGTGATAATTTTTTTTCTCACAGTTGAGATCAGTCTTAAATACTTTATAAAAGCTGAGACTCTAATTCAGAAGGTGTATTGCAAAGCACAATTTTTTTTCTTTTCAGATGAATTGGAGTAATATTATTTGATTTTTAATTAAATAATTTTTAATTTTTATAAACTGACGTCTGCCAACTGAAAATTCCTATATGAAATCCTATATTGTTTCCTTTATATAATTCTATGTGAAATCTTAGATATAGATATTTCAGAATCTACATGAAATCCTATATGATTTCTTATGTTCAAATCAATCATATTTATTGTTACGTAATGTAACATAAATAATATTTTATAAATTTTCATAACAAATAATAATAATTTAATATTTATATTTTAAATTAAAATTATAGTTATAAAAATTTATTACAATTTTAAGCCTGGATTCTCATCCATTAGCTTGGGAATTGATTTTGATTATTTTATTTCTATTGAATTTTTTATAGATATATGAAAAATTAAGGAAATACATAATATAAGGAGTAAAATTTGTTAGTCACAACTATATAAAGTAACGTTAACAAATTTTGGAATCAAAGGTTAAAATAATTTGGAATCACATAGGTAAAATTATACAATTTTAAAGAATAACCGCCAGCTTTAATACGGCAGTATTCTTTGAAATTGGGAAATTGTGAAAGATTTTTAGAATGTGAAAGAAGTTTTCAAAAAGAAATAAAGTAAAGATAGTAATTATAATTTTAAAGCTTACTTTTTTATTTATCAAAGATAATTTTCCCTGAAGATGCAAAATATATTAGATTAATCGTCCTTCCTTGATAATTTCTGATTCGGTAATAATTGTAGAAAAATCACTAAACTTTTGAAACTTGAAAATATAAAATTTGAATAAATTTAGAATTTGGAATAAATGAATAACTTTTTAGAATTTTGATTTGAATTAGTGTATGTGAATTTGAAGGTGGAAAATGACTTTCGAATGACTCTTTTGAGTTTGTATGTAGAAATTTGAATGTTGAAAATAAGTTTTTGAATGACTGTAAAATTTTTGAATGAGTTACTGACTTACGCAAACATGCGTTTTTAAGAGGAAATTTAGACTTTTTGTGGGTTGTCCCTTAAAGAAACAGATTTCCAAAAAGTAGGGATAAAATCTCAAAGAAAGGGAGATCTTTTATATTTTGCATCTTTTTACAATTAGATTAAATTTTTGTTATAAACAATAATAGTTTTTATTATAATTTGTTATTAACAATTATTATTTGACTTAATTTACATAACCTTTTTTGAATTTTGGTTCTACGACGATTTTTAAGAATAATTCATTTCTTAGATTTAATTTATTTATAATTTTCTATAATTATTGTTAATTTTAACAAATTTGTAAAATATTTTATACATTCATTCATACTATATATGTGTGTGTGAATTTTAGTATAATATATATTTTCGGAACCTAGACAAATTTTATTACAAACAGAAGGAAATCTTGGCGACAGGGACTCTCGGACCTGTCGTAAGAAAAACGAAAATGAAAGGAAAAGGACCCCAGCGGTCGACATCTGGAGGATGCACTTGTAGAGTACAGAAAATTTTTTATGGTTGTATTTTGTAACTTTATTGTTTACGAATGTTTCGGTTTCTAAGATTTTTGGAAAAAGTGCATTCTGTATATGTTGACCAGTTAAGGTTACACGTTTCATTATTTGCTCAAAAAGAAAACAAGAGAAAAAACAGATACATTATGAGTCGGTGAATAAAAAGAAAGAACATGATTTTTTAAATAAACAGATGTTTTTTTCTTTTAAAAAGATAAGGGACATTTTCATATAAGTTTTTGGAATCAATTATGTCCAGGCTTCCTATAAATCTTTATGCAATCCAGTATAGTCCACTTTTTAACAAATTGACCAAAGTTCAAAGAGCTATCATGATTTTGAGTTAATGATTCTCGTAAGAAACCCGTTTTATATTGACCAAATTTTTCTATGCCAGTCACGTCATTCTCCATCACATGTCCTTAAATAAAGTTTAATATTGAATTAATATCTAATAATAGGCAGGAAAATGTATGAGAATATATTATTAATTGAGAAAATCAATGTAGATCAATACTATTGAGTCCTATAGGACTCATTTTATTATACCTAATAAAATAAAGTTGCATCTGTTTCAGATTATTGTGAAGAAAACTACAAGCCAACGAACTGTGGAACACTGTTCTGAAGAATTAAAAAATATTCGAAATCAACAAACAATTCAAAACTCTCAGAACAGTATCTCTGAAGTTGATACAAAATCTCGAAGTGAAGAATTGCGTCAACAGCGAAATAATGAAGCTCAGAAATTAATTGCTCAAAGAACAATAAATGCACGAGCTATATTTGAACAGAACACATGTGCTGGTCAATTAAAAACACCTTGTACTTATTATCCAGTAGAACAAAAAAGCAACAATGTAGACATATCAAGAAATACTACTAGTACTACTACTGCTACTACTAAAAGTACTGAAGATAGTGAACGAAAAGAAGAATCTAAAGAACTTTCAAGTAGTTTAAGTCAACCACAAATAAATAATGAAGAATTAAAGAAAAATGAATGTTTTAATTCAGAACAAAGTCATGGAGAAACTGTTAATCCTCAAAGTGAAATAGAAAGTCAGATAAAGAAAGGAACAAATGTTTCAAAATTACAAAATGAAGAATCGTCAACTACTGTCGAAGAAGCAGAAAATCAATTATATAGTCAATTAGAAGGAGAATATTTGTATCTAGATCCTAATAATGAAGGAATGAAAGCGAGAGCTCTTTATGATTATCAAGCTGCCGATGATACTGAAATTACTTTTGATCCGGGTGATATTATTACACATATTGACGCTATTGACGAAGGCTGGTGGCAAGGACTCGGTCCAGATGGAACATACGGTCTATTTCCTGCTAATCACGTAGAAGTTATTAACTAGACTTCAATCCATTGAACACACAAACATTTAATGTAATATATTATAATAATCTGAATATTTAATCAGAATTCGATTTACTTTTAGCAAATATATTTATCCCCCTTTGTTGAAGAGGTGAAGCTAAAAATAATCCGACAAAAATAATAGTTTATTTTCTATGTTAATAATGGATAGAACAGTATTTTTTTGTGAAATAATTTCTATCAACTTATCTTAACATCTGTATAACATTTTCTTTTATTCTCAATTTTTTGTCTTTCAAATCATCATTGTGAAGGAGTAATATAAAACAAAGTTGTAAACTGTTGAAAAATTTTTCAAATTCAATGAAAGCATTGAAAGCTGATGGGAAGTGAGTGTAAGTAGGACGATTTTTTTATTTCTCAGTTTTGATGATATTCATAGATATTTTATTAAGAAGAAACATATATATTTTAAAATTAAGAAAAATATATAGAAAACCAGATAACAAACTAAAATTTTATGAAAGGAAATTGTTTTATTTTAATTGCAATTCTCTTTTATTTTCAATGAAATTTTATTATTTATTCGAATAATATTAAAATGTTATAATTATTTGATTTATATTTTTATGGACGATAAAATAATAATACGTCTTACTTTGATCGCGGGTTAGGATTGCGATTATTTTATTTTTTTCATTATTATTTTTTCTCAAATGGTGAATAAAATTTCTTTTAATAACTTATTAGTCGATTAATTAATTAATTAATTGACTAATTTAAATTTATAAAATTAGGTGTAACAAACAAACTTAGAAACTAAGTTTTCTTTTCTAAATCCAAAAGAGAATAGGAAAAAGAACATTTTTTTATGAAAGTTTAATTGAAATTTTCATTGTTTTTAATGTAAAAAAATTTTTAATTAGACAAAATTATGTCCAATTTACACACACTTCTCACTTATGAAAATTCATATAAGATGAATATAAATTTTTTGATATATAATGTTTATTTATATAATTATTATTATTAGTATCCAATAAAGTCAATTTTTTAAAATGAATCTTTATTCTTGAACGGTTAACGTTTAACAGCTGTAAAAATGAAGATTGTTTCCATTTTTTTACCACTCACACTCCTTTTCACATACAACTGAAAAAAATCTTATTAATGAATAATAATTTTTTATTATTTAATAAAATAATAATGTTAAGCGGATTTACTTGCATTTTTTAAAACACCTTGAATACTATAAGAGTTAAGGATAAATTTTTTTAAATTGTAGGTCTCACTGGCGGACAAATAATGAGAGTCTTTGAGCCATATTAATAAAGATTAACTAATTTTTTTTTGCATTTTAAAACTTTTTGAAAAATCGTTTTTTGTCCAAAACATAAAAAATGTTAGGACACCTATGAATATTTTTTTTGTTTTAATTTTGTAGAGTATTTTAAGACGCATTTTTTTAGCTATTAACGAACATTATACTGTTATTCTATCCAAAGTTATTAAATTTTTAAAAATTAAAAAAAAAACGTTTTCTGACCATAATTTAAAAAAATTTATTGACACCTATAGATATTTATCTCTAGTTTTGTAGAGTTTTTTAAAATGCATCTTTTGAACTATTAGTAAAAAAAAATAAAAATTATTAAAATTTGTAATCCCGTGTGGAAAAAGCCACGATCTGGCCCTCAAGAGTTCGGGGCCCCCGGCGGGAGCCCATGAGGGCTGCTCCATATGGCGAATCCATGAGGGGCAACGTAGGGGCCCCGCATGGATCGCCCTCATGATCGATTAGCAAAATTTTCTAAGTCCAAAATTCAAATATTTTTTCGTCAACAAAAAATGAATGTTTCCAATGATTCAAAACAACGAAAAACGCGTTTTTAATAAAAATATATTTACACTTTTTTTGAAAATTCACCTGAGATGATTCATGATAATAATCATAAAGCATATAATTAATTATATTTTATAAATTGCATTTGATTGGAAAATATAATTTAATATCTTAACTTTAACTAAATGATGTTAAGCACTTTTCTTTGTTAGGTATTTTTTAAGTTTAAATAGCATCAAGAAGTTAGCATTCGTTTTGAAGTAGCGTGCGTAGCGTAGTTGGTAAAGCGTTAGACTCATAGTCTGTAGGTCGTAGGTTCGATTCCCCCCATGCGTTAGATTTATTTATTTCTCAGGTTTGCGTTTAATCATTAATTCTATGTATGAATTAATTGAAAAATGAAAATATCCGTTAATAGTATGCATAAATTACATATTTTTTAATTTTTTAATTAATTAATTTATTATTACTTTTAATTATATCGGACAGTTAATTAATTAGAACGTTAATTAATAAATTCAATTTGAGTAAGAATTTAATTTAAAATTGAATAATTATTAAATAAATATGTTATTTATTCATAACTTAAGCTTATTTATTATTAATTAACTTTTATTATTAATATTATTGATTAAAAAACATTATGGCAAACTTGAGGGGAAACGTGAGGGCCCATAAGGGCGCCCTCATCGATGAGCATGTCGTTTCCATGAGGGGCCCCTATGGATCATCCATATGCGCCCCTCATGGCATGAGGGCGATCCATAAGGGCCCCCACTGGGGGCCCACATCACTTTTCCACACGGGATAATATAAAAATATATAATTATTGAGATTCGTTAATATTTTCAGATTATGAATACATAAAATTTATCATAAAATATTTACATTTAAATTTAAACATTTTGTATATCGACAAATAAATAATTCTCAGAATAATTCTAATTCTTCTCAGCTTATACTTTTGAATTTTTTTTTTTTTATATTATCAAAATTTAAATTTTGTCTTGTATCATTATTATTGTTTTATTAGAAATCTTGTCATAAGATTTATAAGATAGGTTATGAAGTTTATATTTGTGACCTTCGCAATATTATAATAAAATTATTATATTTATAATAATAATTGTTACAATTCTTATATTTGTTTATCATACATAGAAAATTATGAAATAAATTATTTTTGAATTCATACATCCACAAAACTTGAAATAAAAATAAGCATAATTTATATTTAGTGCAGTTATTAAAAACTAGTTTTTGAAAAAGCATTAAAAAAATTAAGTGAAATTTTATAAAATAAAATTGTCACGTATTAAATTAATTATAATAAATAAAAATTAAATTAGACAGTAAAGTTTAAATAGTTAGGAGCCTGAGTAAAAGAAGTAGTGACTTAAAATTTTAACGTTGTGGGTATATGTAAGAACTTACTTATATTTTTTGATAAAGTTTTCTAAAGTAATTTCTAAGCAAATTGAATTAAGATACATTGTATAGATTAGAGATTAAAAGAGATAAAGAAAAGGTTATTCAAAGCGAAAGACATCTTGTTGATAAGAATAGAGATAGAAAGCGATATAATGATATTGAAAGAGATAAAGAAAAGGATATTAAAAGCGAAAATCATCTTGTTAATTAGAATGGAGATAGAAAGCGATAGATGGGTAAAGACGGGATATTGAAAGGGATAGAGAAGGGATTATTAAAAACGAAAAACATCAAGTTGATTAGAATAGAGATAGGAGGCAATAGAAGAATATAGACCAGAGATTTAAAATTATACAATTTTTCTATCACTTTCTATCTTAGAGATAAAAAGATATAAAAAGAGATCAGTTTTCTATCTCTTTACTTCCAGCAGGGAGATAAGTGTTGAAAATAATGAAATTGATTCTCAATACATGTTAATTGACAGTACAGCTAATGGTATTCGAATGACAATTTATTCTACAATATCATTGGCAAATTATCTGCTAAAAGTAAAAAAATACAAGGAAGTATTGACTGGTAGAATTAATCAAGATCCTCTAGAGGTAAGTATAAAACTACCGACAAAATTGCTTTCTCCTGGGTATTCATTTATTTGGTATTATTTCAACTAAATTTAATTTAATTTTCGAATTGTTAGAAAAGTTTATTAACTTTTTAAATAATTCTTCAAATGTTTATTTTTTATATTTATTTGTTTAAATTTATTATTATAGAACCTCAAATTTTGTAATATCTTGTAAAATTTCTGCAAACATTATATATAAAGAAACAAATTTACTTTTGATAATAATCTTTAACGAAATTTAAAAATAGCCAAGAAATTCGTAGTTTTGTCGGCCAGTTTTAATGTACCTATCATTTCCCGAAACGTAAAAGTACTAAAACAAAAAACCAAATTAACAACTTTTGATAAAATATTTATACAGATAGTACAAATTATGCATTTTGATACCCAGTAATTAAGCACTAAAAATTTATGCTCGATTATATGGAATCATGTAATTAAAAAACTCTGCATCAATTATGCGCAAAAAATTTTAATTTTACAAAATCATAATTCGTTTTAAAAAAAACTTTCGATTTGTGATATATGTATATATATGTTTAATCGTTATCGAAGATAAACAAAAGTTTCTATCCAATGTTCAAAACCTTCATAAATTTTCATTTACATTCATTCAATTATTAAGGGGGTAGTCTGGTGTTTCGATGCCTTTTTGGGAGCTTATTTCAGGATTTTTTTTATTATAAAATAAAATATAATCACACCAAATCTTTTTACTTCGTTTTATTCTTATCATGAAGTGTTGAAAAAAATTATAATCGATTATTTTTTACTAGATTTTGTTATTTATATTTAATATTAATGTTTATAACAAAAAAATGCTGGCACAAATGATTTACAAAAATCTATCCGACCGATTGCTCCAATTTTTTTACAGCTTATTCTACACAAGCATGGCTCTGGCCCGTACTAGAATAAAACATTTTTGTTAATAAATAACAAAATAGCGGACTATATAAGCAAAAAGATTCAAAAATTGTCTCTTTTTTATTGACAAAAAGTTAAAAATAAAAAAAAGTTATCATTAAAATTGCGTAATTCTAGTACGGGCCACAGCCATACTTGTGTAAAATAAGCTAAAAAAAAATTGAAGCAATCGGTCGAACAAATTTTTGTAAGTCACCTGCGCCAGCATTTTTTTGATATAAACATTAATATTAAATATAAATAACAATGTCTAGTAAAAAATAATCGATTATAATTTTTTTCAACACTTCAAAAGGAGAATAAAGCGATGTAAAAAGATTTGGTGTGATTATATTTTATTTAATAATAAAAATAAATTCTGAAATAAGCTCCTAAAAAAAGGCCTAAACACCAGACTACACCCTTAAAACTATTGTTTAAAAGTACAGTAAAAAAATTAAAAAATGCTATCTCATAATCATCTTCCTATTTCTAAATATTTAAACTATGAGAAAGTAAAATCAGTTATTCATATAAGCAAATTTTCAAAAAAAGATGTCCCTAAAGTTTTGAACGTTCAAATGAACGACGATTTTTTTGGTACTTCTTTAAGTTTCAATTTTATTACAAAATATTGTTATGGATATAAAAAAGATAAATTCTATGCTTAATAAATATTTCATTTATTTTATTTTTTATTTTAGAATAGTAATTTTATAAAATATTTAAACAGAAAAAATATTTCGTTCATTTGAACGTTCAGAACTTTAGGGACATAAAAAAAGTTGTAAGTAATAATAATAAATAATAAATTACTGACGCATGTAAAATGTTAAGAATTATCAAAATAAGAAAGACTCATTATTTCAAAATTTTTATTCCTAAATCATACTTTTTTCCATTAATGGACTAATAATTTTAACATTCCTATTTTCCATTTCTCTTAAAAGGACGTTATTATTTTAGAATAAAATATTTAAGAAAAGGGAGCAGTGTAATTTCAACCCAAGAAGACTTCCTTGTTTCAACCCTTCGATTTTTACGTTTTTGACATGTGCCAATTTTCTTCTAGCATTATTTGGGATATAAAATAATTCTATATTATTAAAATTAAATAGAAAATTCTTTTTGACCATTTTCAAAATTATATTTTTCAAAAAAATTAAAATTTTTCTAAATTCATCCCTAATAACACAAGATATCTTGGGATATATTGATAATATCCCGCAGATATCCTAGGGATGTCCTATGGATATCAAAAGGATCTCTTAAGGATATCCAAAAAAGCGGCGGTTTGAATATCCTTTGGATATCCCATGGATATCTTCTGGATATCTATATAGACATTCATAAATGTCCTCCAGATATCCCATAGATATCGTCAGGATATCCCACAGATATTTTCAGGATATTCTCAGTATATCTTCTGGATGTCAAGAAGATATTCTCAGGATACTGTTTTTAAAGTTGTTTAATTTGAAAAATTATTAACTAATTTTTTTCTCATTCGTGATTCATTCCTTTATTCATATGCTTAATATTGTCAGAAAATAAATTGGCTTTAAACAATATAAATTCTTCCCCGCAAATAACGAATAACTATTAATATTAATTATACATTAAGTGCATGAGTTTATTTAAAAACTTTGAAAAATGCGTTTCAAATCTTCATTTAAAATAAATTAGAAGCTCATAAGGTTTTTGTTTTTAATATATTATTATTCATTATATTAGCTTAACAATTTTAATCTTTAAAACTATATGTTGAGATATTAAATTTTCCGTGAATATCCTAAGAATATCCCACGGATATCCTGAGGATATCCCATGGATATCATGCGATATAATATCCAATAGATATTTTGTGGATGTCTTAGGGATATCCTGTGGATGTCCTATGGATATCCTGTTGATGTCCCACAGACCGACGGTTTGGATATTCTAGGGATATCCCAAGATATCCTGGGGACCATTCTAGGATATCGACCATTGATATGGATATCCTAGGAATATCCTTTTGTTATGAGGGATACGATTGATTGTTGAGAATTATGAAAAAAGCATATAAAAAATTCTAGAATGAAAAATAAAACTTGGGATAGAAGTCCAAATTTTTTTTTACAGAATTTCGACTTTTATTTAAAAAATAACTAATTAATAATAATAATAATTAATAATAATAACTAATTGTTTTTATTTTTTATTATTTAATTTTAAATACTCAATATTGTCAGATAAAATATTGACACCTTTAATTACGTGTAATATGAATTTTGATAGGTTGAAATTTCACAGGTCTTTCACCTTATAATTTTCTTACAAATTCTATGTGTTACTAATCGTTAACTTTTTGTGTTGTGTTTGTCCTATTTTTGTGAACAGAGGTTTTTTGGAACGATTCGGTTAGCTGATGGAACCAATGACAATCCTGCTACTCCTACTTTCCTTCAGATATATAAAATCCTAACATTTTATAGTGTCTTGAAAGACGATCTATAAAACGAAAAAGAAAGAAGACTTTTTAAAAATAGTAGAAAGTAAATTAAATGATGTAATTATGAATGAGGATGGCGACTTTTCTGATTTTACAGATGCTGTCGATCACGATTATGATCTTCCATACGTAGTGGATTGTCTTATGTATTTTATAACAGGGCAGATTTGTGAAAAGATGAAAAAAAGGAATTGCGAAAAGTGCAACTCGGCCAGTGTGATGTTTTTATCCGCACACTAACACATGCACATACATTTCCTGTATATGAGCCTCTTTTTCGTTTTCCTCTATTCGCTAGATACTATTACTATGCATGCATTTACCGGCGGTCGATTGGTTTTTGGCGCGGGAAATTTAAAATGTAGAAATAGTCTTTAGTAATTCACAATAAATATATTAAGTAAAAAATTAATTATTTATTCAAAAATGTTTTTATTATTAATTTTTAAATGTAATAAACAATAATTCCTGTATTATAATAATAATTTATCGAAATTAATTTTCAGGTTAAATAATAAATTAGATTTTAATGAAACTTTTAAATAAAACTTAAATAATTTTTTACTTTATTTTGCAAAATATACTTAAAGAGAAAAAATAAAATTTAAAATTAATGCTTTCAATTTAAGGAATATAATATAATAACTATTTAATTTTATTAATTATTTATTATTATTTTTAATTATTTTTTATCTAATTTAATCTATACAAATTTAAAAAAAATTACCTTTTACACCTTATTTATAAATAAGGTGTAAAAGGTAATAATATAATTTATAAATATAATAATTTAATTTATAATATAATTTATTTATGTAAAATGCAATTTTTTTAAATTTGTGTAGATTAAATTATAAAAGAAGTAAGTAGTCTGAAATATAATTAACAATATATGATTATTTAATTAATAATTGTGTTAATTAAAAATTACCATAAAAAAGAAATTATTAATTAATTAATTATTATTAATTTAATAATTGATTAATTAATTGATTTATTATTAATAATTATACAAATTATTTTATCTCTTTTTTAAAAATAAATAATATATAAACAATAATTCAATGTAATAGGATATTAAAATATAATATTTATTAATTAGTTATTAAATAAAAATCAAGATTACGTTTAAAAATTTATTTCATAATTGTTTTATACTTTTTTTTCTTTGCATCTTTTATATGTATAAGACTAGAGTAGGAGAAAGTTACTATGCGCGCCAACTGGTGGTCATTTTTAAAACTCATGATACATAGTATACAGAAAACTAATGGTCGTGTCATGGAGCGGTCACACCTCGGCTGCAGGAGCAGTTGCCCATGGCAACCGTGTAAGAGTAAGAGAAATAGAAGATTTTCCATCTCTCTTACTCTTACACGGTTGCCATTGGCAACTGCTCCTGCAGGCGAGGTGTGACCGCTGCATCATCCGGTGTCCCTCCTGGAGCTTCTACAATAGGTCCGAAAGTAAAGTGCAAGTACAAATCCGAGTGGCTCGGACTTTGTTGCGCGCGAAACGTGTAATTTTTATTTTTTTAAGATAATTGATGGTAATTACTCATTATTAATTAATTAATTGTTAAATTATTAATTAATTACTATTTATTATCAAATATCTTACAAAAATAAAAGTCAACACGATGCGCGCGCAACAAAGTCCGAGCCACTTGGACTTGCCTCTCGGACCTATTGTAGAAGCTCCATCCAGGCCTCTGACGTCATATTTTGAACTCGAAATATCTCGATGAACTGTCACAGCCTAAGGGTACGGTCACACTATCTCATGCATGCATGCAGAAACATTTGGCCGGTCACACTTCAACGAAATCTAGTGAATCTTTAGTAACTTTCTAGTAATTTTCTAAAAATTTCGGTTGTAACTAGAAAGTTACTAAACATTTACTAGATTTTGTTGAAGTGTGACCGGCCAAATGTTTCTGCATGCATGCACAGTGCATGCATGAGATAGTGTGATCGTACCTTAATTGAAACATCGATGTTCTGTATGCTATATATGTTACGGTAAAAGCCCGAAGTTGGTAAATGTGTACATTTACTGGTTAATGTGCACAATTACCAATGCAGTTGGTAAAAGTGGGAATTGTCTGTTTTAAATTAAAAATTTCGTACATTTACCAAGTAAATTGGTAATTGTGCACAATCACCAACAGAAATTGGAAAATGTACGAAATGTCTAAATTGAATCAAAGATTTCTCACTCGTACCAACTACCTTGGTAAATGTAGATAGTTTGTTTTGTTTATATTTCAATTAAATAGTAATCAAATGCCTATAAAGGAAACAGAATAATTAGAATAGAATGTTTATTCTGCTAACCTCAGTATTTCGTTTAGTTCGCTTTCGACAGTGAAATTGCGAGTATATTTTAAATTTTGCCTGTAAAAATGAGTGAAGAAATTGTAATTTCCGAAGTGAAAAAAAATTTTTATGAAATTGCAACAAAGATTATAGAAGGGAAAAAAAATAATTCTGTTTATTTGTCGGAAGTAGAGTATAATAAGGTGTTGAAAGAAGTGTGTGATGCGAAATTAAAAATAAAAAAGAAAACGAGTGCTGATTTTCGACGTTTGCGTCGATATGACGTGATAACAATATAAATAAATAAATAAAACTTTTCCAATTTATTTTTTTGTAAATGTCAATAATAACATTTACCAAGGTAGTTGGTACGAGTGAGAAATCTTTGATTCAATTTAGACATTTCGTACATTTTCCAATTTCTGTTGGTGATTGTGCACAATTACCAATTTACTTGGTAAATGTACGAAATTTTTAATTTAAAACAGACAATTCCCACTTTTACCAACTGCATTGGTAATTGTGCACATTAACCAGTAAATGTGCACATTTACCAACTTCGCGCTTTTACCGTAACATATATATATATATGAAACGAGCATAAGTTGATTTTGTCTCGTTACGAGGTGGCGCGTAGAAGCTTCCGTACATAAGAGCTAATTTTAAGTTGTTCACCAGTAAACGGCCATATTTGATTTCCTCCACCAAACTTGATCACGTTTATGAAAAAAAGTTGTTGAAGAATCAGCTTCAAGTATGTTACGTTCACATCCCTGCTGAAAAGTATCCACCTTGTTCTGTTTATGTTTTTCTTATCTTTGATCTTGACATGCTACTGTGAAAATTTTGAAGTAGATAAAATATTTCTGTAAAAATGAGTGATGCTGAAGCTCAAGAAGAGGAACGAGAAGCTTTGTTATCAATATATGATGGAGATTCAGCATTTAAACAATTAAATGCAACTACGTATCAATACAAGGTATAATATTTTATCTAATTATTGTTTTAACCTTAAAATTTTTATTTTTATTTTTATTCAGTTTTTCCATTTACTTATAAATGTCACTGTACACACGTTTTAAATATAATTTTTACTTTCGAATTGTACAACAAAATTATAAATTCATAAATAGATTTATATTTTATTTTGAAAATAAGATCATGTATTTTTTATAAAGATAAAAAGTTTCTACTGTACAACCAAGAAATTTTTTTTAATTTTTAAATTTTAGACCTTAATAATGTATTTTTGCATCAGTAACCTCTAATGTTAAATTTTACACACCGAAAAGTGTGTGTAAAGAAGCTCTTTTTAAATTCCACGGGAGATTTTCATTGAAAATTTTTTTTTCCCCGAAACATTTTTTTTCGAAATCTATATGAAAAATAAGGATAGGTATACGTATTTTTTTATTTGGTAAAAATGAAGGAAGTTATGATTTTTTGAAATTTAACGTCAACGATGGAAGTGTTTTTGGGACATTTTTTAATCTATTGTACTACACTGAAAAAAAAATTTATTTGGATCAAATAAAAAGTATTTGATCCAAATACATCATTTACTTGTCTATTATCCAATAAATATGTATTTGAACCAAATACACATTTACTAAACCTAAGTATTTTATTTTATCGTATCAAATAAATAGTTATTTGAATCAAATACAAAATATTCAAATCAAATAAATGGAATATTCAAAGCTAATAAATAATTATTTGAATCAATTATGAAAATTATTCCACTCAAATAAATATTTACTAGACATAAGTATTTTATTTTATCGTATCAAATAAATAGTTATTTGAATCAAATACAAAATATTCAAATCAAATAAATGGAATATTCAAAGCTAATAAATAATTATTTGAATCAATTATGAAAATTATTTCATTCAATACTGCATGTTTTTTGATTCAAATAAATATTTATTTGCATTAATAAAATATTTTTCTTGAAACAACTAAAAATTTTCTTGAATCAAATATTCGATTATTTGTCATAAGTAATTGTTTTAATTGAAACTTTTATATTTTAATATTATACAATTTCTATTATTATTATATAACAAATTTTTTTTGTCATTTTTTGTGATTTTCTTTTGAAAACTATGAAAACATAGAACTTAAAATTTTTTACTGGACATTTAATGACATTTCAACAACAAGTACAAATTATTTCAAGTAAAAATACTTTAATCTTTTCGATTTATAATACAAGAAAGTAACTTTGATTTTTTGACAGTTCCGGCTGATGGACTGATCGAAAATCAAAAAGTAAAATAGCATTTTAATCTGTAGGGCTGTAGCTATCGCCTGAACTAGGATTATTTGAAAATATTAAAAATGAAATTTTTATGCGGTTTTGAAATTTTTTTTTCAAAAAATCACGATTTTTTGTGTCTATTTTGTCGTATAAAAAGAAAACTTTTCATTTATGCAAAAAAAATAATAGATTTTTTGAACCCATCACACGGGATGACCCCCTTAATTTTTTTCTTAAAAGTAGACGGACAAATATGAAGCAAATTATTTCATCCGGATACTGTCTGATACTTTTTTTAGAGCAATTAGATCAATTTTTAATATAGTCGTCCGCCATATTGGATCCGCCATTTTGAATTTTGAAAAACTAAGTTCAGATTCGTAATCAGTGACCCAAAAAACTCCCAAGTAACAAATTTCAGGCAGGTATAAACACATCTAGGGGTTTTGACTAGGTTTTTTGCAATCTGGCCCACTGTGGGGCGTTGTGCGCGACAGAATGCAGATGGCGCTGTCGTACTGGATGGAGGAAAAAAAATATAAATTTAAATTCCAACAATAATTTTAATTAAGATTTTCAATAATTATTATTCAAGAAAGAATTTTAGATATAAAATTGAGAAATAATTGTATTCTAGAAGATTTGAAGTTAAAATTTTTAGAAATAATAATTGAATTTCATGAAATTATTAATTGATACTTTCATTTTGAATTGGTGAAATTTTTTTAAAAACTTTAGACAGTAATTGAATTTTAGTGAATTTTTGATTAAAAATTGTTTTAAGTCATGCAATTTCAGAAGAATTTGTTTTAAATTATTGAAAATAATTGATTTTTCAAACAATTCAAGTTAACATATTTTTTAATAATTTAATTTTAAAAAATAAAAAAAAGTCGAAAAAGTTGTGCAATCCGAGGCCTGTTATTGAAAACCTTTTGAAATATTTTCATTAGGGTCAGGGTAAAATTTTTAATTTTGACTGGAAATCAAGGAAAAATCAGAGAAAAACAAACTAACATTTTTGTGTCTATTCTGAATTAATAACTTTAAATTTTTGAGGCGTATAAATTTTATTCAAATTTCAAATGATCTAAATTTGATTGTCGCAATCAATGTTATATGACTTAATTTACATTTTGAATAATTCGTATTTAATTATTTTTAACTTAATCACATGCAAAAGTAGTATTTTTGGGAGATTCACTATTCTATAATATTATATAACTAATAACAGCTAATTTTGGTATAATTAAATATTATAAGTGTTTAACATTTTTTTTAGTATGGAGAAGATAATGATCACCAATCTTTTTTACTCGAAATTTCATGGAGTACTAATTATCCTACAGAAAATCCAATTATCAACATGAATACTTTTTACAATAAACATATGTAAGTATAAATTACATTAATTAGATCTTTTTTAAACTTTTTTTCAATTTTTCACCTTAAAAATAAAAATTTTAATTCATATGTCTGACATATTCCCACACGGAAAAACTTTGTGCAAGAATCATTCCTAAATTTGTTCAAGAACTGAGGATATGAGAATAATTTAAGAAATCTTATTTATATTTGAATTTCAAAAATTGCTCATAAGCTTATCTATATAAAATAAAATTTTAAAGAAATAAAAGAAATCTGTCAATGCCTATCAACTACCAAGGTCAAGTTATCTATTCCCTAAATTAATTAATCTATCATAAGTAAATTAATTTGACAAGTTTCTCCCTTAGACTTTGATTTATTTAATATGTTATTTATTTTACAACATATTAAAATGCTCAATTTCTTAGTAGCAAATAAATGAAAAATTCATTTACTTCTCTGAAAATCAAAATAAATAAATAACTTAAGTAAATTATTTATTTCCTAAATTAACTGATTACTTGGAGGGCAGGGATTCATAATCAATTGAATCTTACACATTAACAAATTGATCGCCTATTGCAAAGAATTTGAGATATATGTATCTTCAAGAGACTTACGATTTGCTTTTGTTACCACTTAAGGATCCAGATAATAAGGTGGTACTCCGAGTTACCAGAAAACCCTTAAGTCTTTCACCATGGCTTGACTTTAGAGAATTTTGTAGTTTAAGTTAAAGTGACTATTCACTTTTTATTTCTTCTACTTGCCTAATCTTGACTTTAAATATTAATTTTATAATTTGTTTAAAACGTTTATTTCTTATATAATTCTGAGTTGGAACAGTTGTTACACCAGCCTCTCAGACATTATATAAGATTATATAAAAAGATAAAAAAAATGTAAATAACAAAAAAATTTAATATTTTAAATAATAAGAAAAAATTGTATTGAGCACTTGTTCTTCTATTGTTTACAATTTACTTTAATATTGTAAAATCCAATCACAAAATAATTTAACCACAATCCACAAAAACTATCTGACAAAATTGAAATGTATATATATATATATATATATGTAGATATAGGCAATCAGCCTGAGTAAATTTCAGAGAATGCCCGAATTTGGGTCTCCTTCTCTATTTATTAACTCGAGAAGACGCTTCATCCCCCAAATTTCTCTCTATCCCGTGTAGGTTTAAATTTAGTAAGTGTGTAAGTGATATTCTGACGGCTGATTGCTTGAAAATCCGCGGTTTTCCTTTCTACCTTTCTTCGTATACTTTTACTGTATATTTCTTACCGCCAAATTTTCCCTCTAATCACATTTTTCGCGGCGTCCTATTTTCTTAGCCAATAGTATTTAAATTATTTTGGTAAGGACAGAGCGATTCCTCTCTTTCTAATTCCGTTGTAACGTATACAGAGAACAATGCCATTGTCCAGCTGTCAATCATTTTTCTATTATTAATATAATTTCTTTAAATCTTTGATATCTTAAAAAATAATAATTTGACAATGATTTTACATTTACCATTAATTTTTAAATAATTTTTACTATTATATGACATATAATTTTTACTTATTATAATTAATTTAAGCAATTAAATAAAATAATTTGCATTATTTTATAAAAAAAATGAAAAATATGGTTAATTAATTTAATTATAGTTTATATTTATTTTTAATATTGTTAATAAAAAAATAAATATTTATATTTATATTGAATTAATAATTTCCTTTTATTCGAAACTATATCTTTCTTCTCTTACTATTATTTATGTATGTTTCTCTATAGTGTTATCTATGAATGTCTTCTATGGTGTCATCCATAAAGCATGTGATACATTTTTCCGAAATTTTAACCCCCCCCCCCTCCCCCTTGTGATGCTTTTTCATTTACGATTAACATGTAGTGTGATATTTTTCTGACCCCCCCCCCTACCCCCTAAAGCATCACATGCTTTATGGATGGCCCCTTATCTCTTTTTATTATTTCTGACATTCTATTTCTCTAGATTTAAATTTATTTCTTAATATTATTTTTCTTTGATTTTTATAAATAATTTATAACTTTTCTTTTAAATAATTGATTATTTTTATAAAAATTTTACAAAATAAAATAATTTTTATTATTTTATTTATCAATATTTAAATTAATGTTAAAGGATATTTTATTTATATATTATTAATTATTTAATATTCCTTTATAGTATTTAAACATTAAATTTATTATTCCTATGCACTTTTACATTTTTAGAATTTCTATATTAGTGTATAATTTAGACATTCATATACACACACACACACACACACACACATATATATATATATATATATATATATATATATATGTTACGGTTAAAGTGCGAAGTTGGTGAATGTGCACATTAACCGGTCAATGTGCACATTGACCAAATTGGGCATCAGTAGGTAGGTGATTGTGAGAATAGCATACGAATTTCTTTGTTTTGTGCACTTTAACCGGTAAATGTACACATTCACCAAATCATTTTGGTTAAAGTTAAAAATAAATATTATAGTATTGATGTTTTGCTACTTTAACCGGTAAATGTACACATTCACCCAAATCGTTTTGATCAAAATAAATTTTGCTGCGTACGAAAAATATATTTATTTATTTTTGTAGGGGCGACTTCCATGAAATTTTGTTTAATTTGACATTTTTTTTGCTATTTTTAAAGTATAAAGTATTTTAGAAAATGTTGAACTTTCAATAATATACAGATTTTTTGGGATTAAAAAATTTTAACTTTAAATATAGCTATGTAGGAAGAATATATTTATTTATTTTTGCAGGGGCCACTTCCATGACACTTCTAACGCTTACAAATCTATCTTATTTGTAAAAGTTTGATTCATATACAATTGACATATCAATTAATATATTTATTTACATTTGAACTTCTATTTATATTTGTCTTCCTACTTCTGTTTATAATTTTCATTGTCATTTATTCTAATTCTATTCCTTTAATACAATTTATATTTAATATTAACTTATTAATTTATTAATAATAATATTCATTACATTTTCACATTTTATTTGCATAAAAAAATTATTTAACAATTCACTCATTTCAAATTTTCACATTTACCAACCAAGGCTGGTCAATGTGTACAATCACCAATTTACTTGGTAAATGTACATAATATCTTCCCCAAATGTCCGATTTCTCACTTTTACCAAAATGCCCGGTGAATGTGCATATTGACCGGTTAATGTGCACATTCGCCGGACTTCGCACTTTAACCGTAACATATATATATACTCGTTCTCCTGAGTGCAAGTGTACTCATGAAAACAGTATTTTCCTTTCTTATATTTCCCTTTACCTATGTATATATATACCAAAATAAAACGTTATATTTTTGAAATTATATGATACTCTATATTTTTCTTTATATGCATTTAAATATATTTAATCTTTTGACTATTGGAATAACTCTTCAATGTGCTTCTAATAATTTCAAGTGACGATTCTCTATTGGAATAACTCATTTAATAATTAAGATATAAATAATTATATTAAATTTCAATATATTCATAAATTTATTAAGATTAATTAAAATCCGGGCATGATTACCATATTTAGTTCAGGACGTTTCGTTTGACGGGATTTAAACATAATACAATTACACTCAGAACATATTTATTAGCTACACAGATACTTTTATTTTTTTTAAATTACTATTTATTTTTTAAAAACTTTGTTAGAATAAATTATTATCCTTAAATGTAAGATATGAATTAAAATTGAATATTTCTAATTTACAGAGTTCAAGAAGTTAAGGATAAAATAGTAAAACATATTGAGTTCGAAGCTGAACAGTGGTTAGGAAGTGCTATGACTTACACTCTTTTTCAATCAGTACAAGAGAATCTTCCGGAATTACTAATTGACCAACCTATTGCTATAACTCGACTGGAACCTTCAACGTCTAATCTCAATGTTCCAGTTGTTATAAAGGTAATTTATATATATATGGAAGTTTTTTCGTTTGATATAGTTACGCATTTTTATAGAAATACTAAAGGTGCATTGCATTAATTCACACTGAAAAAAGAGTTTGGTATTCACAACCAAACGTTTGGTTGGTATTTAAGCAGCCAAAATTTTTTTGTTGAATCAACAAAATTTTGGTTGTCCCAATAAAACTTTAGTTAGAACAACAAAAATCCTTTTTTCTAATTTTGGTTGTGTCAAACAAATTTTGGTTGAGACAATTAAAATTTTGTTGATTCAACAAAAAAATGTTGGTTGCTTTAATACCAACCAAACGTTTGCTTTTCAATACCAAACCATTTTTTCAGTGCACTTTCTAAGACAAAGCGCATAAAGAAAACACAATTAATTTCTTAATAATGAATTACAAAAATAATTTCGAATATTCTTTCCGTACTGATGGAATTAGACTACAAATAAAAAAAATTAATATGCATTTTGTCGATTATACAATATTAAAAGGTGCTGCTTGGAAACCTTATTTTTCCGTAAAAAATTAGGCTTGTGGGGTTAATCGGGTATAAATCCGGTTATTCCCATAACCGGTTATGAAATTTTTTAACAAACTGTTAACCGTTTTCTGGTTATTTTGGAATAACCAGCTGTATGGAAGTATCCGATTTTTTTTAAATAACTGGTTTCTCGGGAATAAATTGTTTTTTTTTCAAAAACGGACTGTTATTTGTTTGAAATCACACAAATTTTACGTTCAAATTTCTACATTTTTTAAAAAATTGTTTATCCATCCATAAGCTTATTATAAACAAATTCTTCAACCCTTTGCGTCATACTGGGTCTCTCAAAGAACGACTTAAATTAAACAAGTTTAAAATAGCTATCTAGATAGGAAACATTGACTGGTGAATTTCATGTCAGTCTGATGACTATTCCTTTCAACTAAATAAATCATAAAAACTATTAATTAATGATAAAATAGCAGAATGAGAAAGTAAACAACTAAAGGTTTCGCGTGTAATAAAATGATATAAAAGATTTATTAAACAATACTAAAACTATACAGCCATGAGGGCGATTCACCAAAGACTCAACACTTATACCACTCATCCCTTCAATGCTCATTCAATTACAGAGTTGCCATATCTCAACACTCCGCCTCAACTCGACAATTTTATTTTACTTTAAACAGCCATACAACTCTGCACAACGCCGAGTTTTTTTCGCAAATACACAAACTTACTTGCATTCAATGATTTTGTAAGAATGTCAGCAATCTGCTCATCAGTTCTCACATACTTGACTCGAAGTATATCTCGATCGACCAAATCGCGTAGAAAATTATATTTGATATCAATGTGTTTCATGCGTTTATGTTCCCAGCGTTTTAGCGAATGAATACATGACTGGTTATCTTCAAAAATCGTAACAGTATCCGCGTTAACAATTTTAAATTCGGATAAAAGATTTTTCAACTACAAAAATTCGCTCGCACACATAGCAAGAGAAAAAAACTCTGCTTCTGTGGAGGATTGCGCTACAGTATGTTGTCTCTTCGTTTGCCAACACACTGTGTTTCCAAACAAATTAAACAAGTAACCTGAAGTTGATTTTCGATCCTCGCTATTCCCCCAGTCAGCATCCGCAAATGCAATCAGAGGTTCTTCGACATTTCCCTTCACGAACAATAAACCAAAATCCTTCGTTCCCTGTATATATCGTAAAATTCTTTTAAGTCCCGACCAATGTTCTTCTTTAGGATTACTTTGGAATCTACTAAAGAAATTGACGGAGAAACTCAGATCGGGTCTCGTAGTCTGAGTGAGGTACATTAAACACCCTATGAGCTCGCGATAAGGCTTATCAAACAAATCATTGCTTGACTCAGAAATGAATTTAGTTTCCATGGGTGTTGTTGACGATTTACATTCATTCATACTGAAACGATTTAACAATTTTTCTAGATACACTCGCTGACTGAAAAACATTTTTCCATTCTCCCGCGAAATTTTTATTCCCAGAAATGTATTTAAATTTCCCAAATCTTTCATACTAAATTTCTCGTGTAAGGCAGCTTTTATTTTCTCGACAACTTATTTCTTTTCGCATGCAACAATAATATCATCTACATACAGTAACAAATACACCATACAACCTTCTTGCAAACCCTTATACAGACAACGATCAGATGCAGAGCTTTTCAAACCAAGAAATCCCATGAAGGCATCAAAGGTTTTATTCCACTCCCTTGGTGTTTGTTTTAAGCCATATAACGTTTTATTTAATTTACAAACCTTATTTTCTCCCGCTAAAACACCTTTAGATACCTTCATGTACACCTCCTCCTTTAGCTCGCTGTGAAGAAATGCATTCTTTACATCCATCTGAGAAGCGCACAAATTTTTCTCGTTGATCACCGATAACAATACTTTTAACGTCGTTAGCCGCGCGACAGGTGCGTACGTTTCCGTATAGTCAAACCCGTGTTTTTGTAAATAACCTTTCACAACAAGTCTCGCTTTACGTCGCACGATTTCACCATTCTCGTCGTTTTTCACTGTAAAAACCCACATATTTCCAATTGGCTTTTTACCTTCCGTCAAATCACACACAGACCACGTATTATTATCTCTTAGTGCACTTAATTCTTCCTCGACGGCTTCCATCCACTCTTCTTTATCGCCACGTTGAGCAATATCCTCGAATTTCACAGGTACGTTTCTGCACTGAATGCGATGACACCATAGTCGTCCAACCACTTTGGTTTCTTCCGTTCTCGAGTACTTCGCCTTGGTGTTTCAACCAAATTTTCCTCCAAAGTAATTTTTGGAACATCAGGGACCGATTCCGAGTCCTTAAATTCAAGGTCGTCAGAATCTGAATCATTCGACTTTGATTCATCGATTTTCACACTCTCCTGATTGTTTGACACTTCTTCCGGGAGCCACGAACTTGTTTCCGACGAATAAATTTTAAATTTCGTTTCATCAAATTTGAAGTCTCTGCCATAAAACACACGACCCTCTTCCGGACTCCACAATTTATACCCATTGACACAATAGCCGATCAACAAACATTGTATTGTCCTGGTACTAAATTTGTCACTCACGAGTTGCTTTGGTACACACAAATATGACAAACAGCCAAACACTTTTAGTTTTCCTAAATCGGGTTTGATACCGTACCACTCAGTTGCAGGAACACTACCTTTCAACGCACTTGTTAGAGTGCGATTAATCAAATAGACTGAAGTTCTGACTGCATCTGACCAGAATTGTTTTGGTATTTCCGAGCCTAGAAGTAAACACCTTGCTTTCTCGAATATACTTCGATTCATACGCTCGGAAACACCATTATGTTCGGGTGTGTATCTCATAGTAAATTCGAATACAATACCTTTTTCCTCGAAATGTTCCCTCATCTCATTGGAAAGATACTCTTTTCCGTTATCGCACCAGAATCTGCTCAGCTTACAATTAAAATGAGATGTAGCCATTGCCTCGAAAATTTTAAAGTAATGAAATACCTCCGACTTAGTTTTCATCACGTACGTTACCGTAAAATGTGTAAAATCGTCAATGAAGGTTACCACATATTTCCCTTCGTCATAAGACACAGGGGAAATCGGACCAAACACGTTACTGTGCATAAGCTGTAGTGGTCTTGTAGCACGAACACGCGTTTGCTTAAATGGCAGCCTTGTTTGTTTACCCTCAACACACACACACGACATACACCTTGCGGAGCATTTTTCGAGTTCACTTTCACCCCATCAGTCAAATTTGTCAGCTGATTAATCATAGCTGGGTTCATATGTTTCAACCTTTTATGCCACAGTTCAGCTTCAAACGATAACAAAGCACACGTTTCGTTGGTTGAAACATTTAACACATATAACTGTCTTTCGTTCAACTTCGCCTCGGCTGCGACAACACCATCTTTCTCGATTCGACAAATTCCATTTTCAAACACTACGCGAAAGCCGATTTTTTCCAGTTTTCGTACCGAAAGCAAATTGTATTCCAGTTCGGATACGATCAATACATCTTTGACAAGTATACGGACCGCTTTTCCTCTCACGATTGTTGTCACTACTCCACTTTTTGCCACTTTAATCCTTGTGACAGTCTTCAGAGTTGTCACATTTTTCACTGGTAACTTGTCACTTACGAGATGTTCCGTGGCGCCAGAATCCAGCACCAAATCAACCGAAGTATCACCCCGACCACTCGCAATAAAGCAGAAAGCAGTAAGATCGTTGGAATCCTCGTCCACGCTCACAGCCACATTTCCATGATTCGCACTGTTGGATTGCATGTTTTTCTTTTTACATTCCTTCCGCCTATGTCCTATTCCACCACAGTTGTAGCACCGAAATCCAAATTTTTTTGCTCCGCCTTTATTATTATTTCCAGACGGACCACCTTTGTTTGGATGTGCTGAAAAAGCAGTAGGTTGTTTCGACGACGAATGTTTCTTTCTCCCTACGTCATCACGTTTTGCTTCTTCGTCCATCAGTCTGTTTTTGACAAAGGCCACTGTCAATGCGTCCCCAGAAAGTGTCTCTATCGCTGTGACCACGTGATCGTATTCTTCCGGCATTGTAAGCAAAAGATGACACACCAAATCTCTTCTAATTTCGCACCTGTTGAACGTAACCCTCGAATCGCTTTGTCGAAATTTAGAAAATGTTCAGCTAAACTCACCTTTGACGAATTAAATTTCATCAATAAGAGTCTTTTCTTGAGAAGTAGTTGGCCAGCAATTCCTTTCCGTTCAAAGTTAGCGAGTAAAGCGCTCCATGCCGCAAACGCACTATCACTATCTTTTACATATTCCAGATGACTATCTGCTATACGTTGTACGATCTGCGAACGATATTTTCTATCTGCCTTCAAATGTGTTTCGATTTGCGTTTGTTTTATCGCCCTCTCCATAGCTGAATCAGTGTCCAAAATCACAACCATTTCCGTATGTGATTTTTCAGTATATTCTGTTAATTCCAGCTCGCTGAGAAGTGTTTCCATCCGGAACTTCCAATTTCCAAAGTTCGTACCGTCGAATAACGGAATTTTATACTTCTCACCGTCAGCCATTTTTCGCCACGCATCTACACAGCGTAAACTATTACCGAATCACGAAAACGATTTCAACAGTTCATATTTAAGTGGTTATTCATGTAAGGGGCCCATAACCTGATAAAATAGCAGTATGGGAAAGTAAACAACTAAAGGTTTCGCGTGTAATAAAATGATATAAAAGATTTATTAAACAATACTAAAACTATCCAGCCATGAGGGCGATTCACCAAAGACTCAACACTCATACTACTCATCCCTTCAATGCTCATTCAATTACAGAGTTGCCATATCTCAACAATTAAAATAAATTGTAATCATTTTTGTATTTTTTTATAGCATCGCCTGAATAGATGACGCATATTCGAATGTGTTTGTAAAAAAATTTGGAGGTTCTCTACTGATAGTTATTTTGGATATATTAACATTTTCCAAAACAATTTCTTGGTCACTATTGGTTGTTGTAAATCCGTTGTTGTTGTTGTTGTTTGAATTCTTTGTATTCAATATTGTACTCATTATCCATAAACGGATTTGATTCATTTCTTTTTCTTGAAATTGTACATTTTCTCCGGAATGAATTGTGTATCCCTATGAACTTAAATGTCCGCCACAATTATTTGAACTTCCTTTTACTGTTCCCTGGCTTGGAATGTCATCTGGTGCATATAATTTCCATTCAGGCCAATTTAAATTTATTTTTTTATTCATTAATTTTTTCACCAATGAACATATTCGTACAATCCAGTAGTTGTTAGGTGTGCCATGTAAGCTATCGAAATAAACAATAGTACTTTGGTCGAATACTGTTAATAATAGTGACCAGCTCCATACTGTTTATTATCGTGTATTTGACTAGTATAGAATCATTTTCTGCTGGATTTGTTATAATTTTTACCAAGTCTGTTGGAAATTCAAAATTCATGTATGGTATTTATGGGCCAAGATTGATAGATAGGCATCAATTACAAAATTGTCCATACACTGATGAGATAAAAGGCTCTCAAGACTTATACTGTCAAGTATAATGCTATTTATTGTTATTTCCTTTTTTTTTAAATAATTATTAAATTCAGTACCGATCCACGGTTTTGCACTTTTTTGGACAGACTTTTTTTCGGACGATGTTGAAGGAGCTATATTGTTGACAGAGTCAACAATTATTTTTTAATGTATTGCACTTGTATTTTCTTCAAAATTGATATCAATATTTGGGTCTATTTTTCTTTTACGTTTAGTAATTTGTCTTGTAGTTACCAATCCATAGATTACCTCCTTATATCGTCCATTTATGGTCAACTCATGCCTTTGGATGAATCGCGGAATGAGATTTCTCAACTTTTTTCCAAATTCAATATTTTTAACAAAACCCATCCAATTTTCAACTGCATTATTAGTGTCGCGTTTAATTCCGAATATATGAATAATCAACTTCCAGAAAGAAATATCCATTTTTATCATCAATTTTATCTAAATCAGTTAAACTGCCATCTACATTTACACTGTTATGTGAAATTTCTCCTATTCCATAAATGTTAATATTAATTGTACTATCTTTTGATTCTTTATTATCAAATCGAAATTTATACTTGGCGCAATTGGGCATTATACAATGTGCAGTTGCAGTTCAAATTCCATTATTTCTCTGTCTTTGTAAAAATTTATTCTTTTCAAATGCTAACTTTTTTTTGTAATTTTCTCTTGATATATTTTTTTGAGCAACATAAATCAAACGAGATGAACAACTATGGACAATAGTTACATCATCAAATGTGATGAGGATATTAACATTTTTTGTGTGTATTTTTAACCACATTAATTCTAAGTACTCAATTAATGTCATTTTATTGAAAACATGAATAACGCACTCCCTTACATTTTGGTCAAAATCAATTTCAATGTTATCAATTACACGTTTATTCTTTCGTTGAATGTATTTGGTTAGTGCGTTTTCAAAAGTTGAAAAAATAAGTTCAAAAAATGGATTTTTCGAAGTAGATGTTAAATACTCAAAAACCTTTTTTGAATTTTGAAAAACTGATGTCATATTCGTAATCAGCGACCCTAAAAACCCCCGAGTAACTAGCTAAAAGCGAATCCGATCAAATTTAATTTTGTCTTCCGGCTTATTGGATCCGCCATTTTGAATTTTGAGAAACTGATGTCATTTTCGTAATCAGCGACCCTGAAAACCTCCCGAGTAACTAGTTTCAAGCGAATCCGATCAAATTTAATTTTGTCTTCCGGCTTATTGGATCCGCCATTTTGAATTTTGAGAAACTGATGTCATTTTCGTAATCAGCGACCCTGAAAACCTCCCGAGTAACTAGTTTCAAGCGAATCCGATCAAATTTAATTTTGTCGTCCGCCATATTGGATCCGCCATTTTGAATTTTGAGAAACTGATGTCATTTTCGTAATCAGCGACCCTGAAAACCCCCGAGTAACTAGTTTCAAGCGAATCCGATCAATTGGTAAATTTTAAAACGAGATTAATATAAGTCATTCTTTGAGAGACCCAATATAACGCAAAGAGTTGAAGAATTTGTTTATAATAAGCTTGTTAATGAATAAACAATTTGTTAAAAAATGTAGAAATTTTAACGCAAAATTTGTGTGATTTCAAACAAATAACATTTGTTTGAAATATTGTAGGTAGCAGGGTGATTTGAAACGATTAATACAGAACGGACTGCTGCCGGGTCGCTAGCTTCACGGCGCTCCATTAATTTAGTCAATAATATCCCACGTCGACTCAGGAAATAGGAACAGGAATCGGAAACGAAGTTTTACAAAAATACAAAATTAATTTACAAAAAATTAATTATAGGGTCAGCCGGGGTAAATCCGAACGCTAATTATTTCAGCTTAATTAAAATTTTTAAAAATAAGTTCGATATGAGAATTTTTACCTCAGATCCTCTTCAAGAGATTCTAAGTATTATCCCATTTTTCGTTTGTTAATTAGCAACAGCATAAACAAAGATAACGAGTATTGCAAAAAAGATTGAAAATCAAAGATGACACTCTTTCAGTATTGTGTCTCGTATTTGAAGAAAAAGAAGCTAAAAATTTATTTTATTATTTATAATTGTTTGTTATGAATACTAGAACAGAAACTATTTTTGATTTTTGCCTTCTGTAAAATTTTATTAATAATATCAGACCGTTCGTATTTACCCAGGAAAATTGGAAAACCGGGGTAAATCCGAACGGTATTTTCAATAATTTTTTTTACATCAGAGCCACACAAAATTGTTTTTATTTCATTACACTATTATTTTAACATTATAAAAGTACATAGAAAAAAGTTTTTCCTTCTATACGTATCCTCGTTAGTAATTAATAAGCAGAAACTTAATCTCTGTTCTCTCGAAGGAGTGTTTCAATTTTTTTGCCAAATGGTTTGTTGAAAAAAGTTTTTCAGGATCTTAATAAAATTTGGTATTCTACGGTTTTTGGGGTCGCTAATTACCAATTTGCAGTCAGTTTTTCAAAATTCAAAATGGCGGACGAGAATTAAAAAATTCATTGGATTCGCTCGAAAATTGTTACTCGGGGGGTTTCAGGGTTGCTGATTACGAATTTGGAGTTAGCAAATTTCATCATTTTTAAAAATAAGTTTTAGGAAAGTCCGCCATTTTGAATTTAAAAAATTTGACTTTTATTTTTGTATTTACATTCAATCACTCCAAAATACTTTCTGTAGCAAGTTTTGCAAAAATCCGTTATGATTTGATAAAGTTATTGAAGGTTTTAATTGTGTAATGCATTTTAATTTTTTAACCTGTTTGATTTTTGTATTTATATATGATGCATTATTATATAATAGGTTTATTATCGTATTTTTTTTGAGTTTTTATATAAGTTTAACAATTGCAATACTTTAAATTTATTTTCCCTAAGATTTTACTGAAATACAGTGGCGTTCGTATTTACCCCGGTATTTTAGGAAAGTTGCAAAGTATCGAGGTAAATACAAACGCTAAGTTTCCTGCGATTGTAATTTATCAAAAATTTTTGCTACCCCATAAAATTGTTCTATGGAAGTAAAGTAACAACTTCATGCACCAGAATACCGGAAGTATTTTTTTTTAAAGAAAAAATTTATGTTATTGTTGAAACTTACTAAAAGCATTCAGATTTACCCCGGTTGACCCTAATACATTATTATACTAAGTTTAATATGGTGTCTTTTCAATGTGAGGAAAAACAGGATTTTGAATCGAAGATTGATATGATATCGAGTTTTTTTCCGAACAAACAAAAGTATAACCTATGATGGTATTGTAATATCTTGTAATTATAATTTATATTCCACAGAGTGAGATTGGAAAGAAGCCAAAACAACAATTAACAAAATCACAAAAGAAAAAGTTATGGAATCGTTCGGATGGAAAGAGTGAAAATCCTCGAGGTTGGAATTGGGTGGATATTGTGAAACATTTATCCCAAATTGGATTCAAAGATAATCAAGAATCATAGTATAATTTTTATATTCTACTAATAAATATTTAAAATATTTTGTTTTACAATATTTAAAATAAATTAAATTTCGATTTTATATACCTACTATTTTGTTTTCCAATGTTAATTATGTACGTTGTAAATATAATTGAACCGATATTATTACATATCTCTGATTATAATAGGTAATTTATTAAATAATAAAATAAACTTATTCCTATAAATTAAACTATGGTTTTATTCAAGCAGATAAGAGATAAAAATATGTTCCATTTTCGATAATTTTATCGATGAAAGTGTTGATGATGGTAAGTATTAATACAATTGAATATCAAAATTAAAATAATTTATTTTTTAAATAAGCTGTTCATTTATATAAGTGCGATTCCAAGTGAGATTTTGACTTTTTCGGAGTAGGTTAACCGATTGCAATGAAACTTTGGAATTTTGTTATATATAGTAAGACTAATCTTTAACGTAAATTGCAACTAAAAATATTTGTTAGTTTACGAGATTTGCAATAATAACAAAAAATTTAAAACTGCTATATCTTCCGTTCTAATAAACGGATTGAGGTCTACTTTTTTTTAAAATGTCAAGGAAAATGAGAGGAATAAATCTCTTTCAGAACATTTTTTTATAATTTTACAACTAAAAAAATTATTAAATAATAATTGAATAACTTTCGCGCGACTAACTAAAATTCAATCACTTAAACGCTAAAATGATCTTACCTGTGTTTTCTTTAATGTTCCAAAGGATTTTTATTGTAAATGTAAGTTTAACTTAAGAAATTTTATTAATTTATTAGTATAAACAATTGAGATTTCTGCTAGTTGACGTGCAGACGACATTGCGCACGCAGCATTCTCACATAGCCAACTGACGTGATTCGTGGACTAAATTAGCTATGTGAGAATGCTGCGTGCGCAATGTCGTCTGCACGTCAACTAGCAGAAATCTCAATTGTTTATACTAATAAATTAATAAAATTTCTTAAGTTAAACTTACATTTACAATAAAAATCCTTTGGAACATTAAAGAAAACACAGGTAAGATCATTTTAGCGTTTAAGTGATTGAATTTTAGTTAGTCGCGCGAAAGTTATTCAATTATTATTTAATAATTTTTTTAGTTGTAAAATTATAAAAAAATGTTCTGAAAGAGATTTATTCCTCTCATTTTCCTTGACATTTTAAAAAAAAGTAGACCTCAATCCGTTTATTAGAACGGAAGATATAGCAGTTTTAAATTTTTTGTTATTATTGCAAATCTCGTAAACTAACAAATATTTTTAGTTGCAATTTACGTTAAAGATTAGTCTTACTATATATAACAAAATTCCAAAGTTTCATTGCAATCGGTTAACCTACTCCGAAAAAGTCAAAATCTCACTTGGAATCGCACATAATATAATTAAAAAAGGCCACAATTTAATTAACAAAGACCTCAAATCAGACTATAATAAGGTAAAAATATCTCTTACAGGAGCACCAAAAAAATTTTCAATGGTCACCTTAAAAGCCCCTTTAGCCAATTTATCAGCCCTTTCATTTCCACAGATACCTCTATGTGATGGAAACCCAAAAAACTGAACGATGCGACCCTCATCAATTAAACCAAAAACAATTTTAACAATCTTAAAAATAATAGGATGGGAATTAGTAATCGAAAATTTATCCTTTAAACTACTCAACGAAAGTCTAAAAGCAGAGATAATAATGACCTTGCTTAATTGAGTTGATCTAACATACCTTAACGCAGATAATATACCATACAGTTCGCATCAATCCGCAATCATAATATCAGTAAGCTTAACTGAAAAATCAATATTTATAGAAGGAATATATTAACTGGAACCTGATAAATCCCTAATTAGATCATGAGATCCAACAATAAATATACTTTTATAATCATTATAACGTTAATATTGGAATAATCAAAATTTTATTAATTAACCTCCCCTTTTCATGTGTTATAAAAAGAAAACCCAAACGTGAATCGTTAGACGCCAGTCAATCTTTATTGCACTGAGAAAACTGTTTGGTATCATGTATCAAAGTTTGGTTTTCCCTACCAAATTTTTTATTTGATATATGTGCAACTAAACCGTTTGGTTGGGAGTACTAAATTTTTTTGTCCAACCGTTAAATTTCGCTCAATTGAATTATTTAGTAGGTGTAACCAAATAATTTAGTCTACGTAATAAATACATTTATTAGAATGAAAAAAAATGTTCTCTTGACGTAAATAAAATTTAGTTATTTCAACTTACTGTTTTCGTTGATTAAAAAAAAATTTTTTGTAGAAATAACTTAATAATTTATTTTATCTAAAATAGTTTCTTTGGTCATTTTTACGATTTTGCATAAAAAATAAGGTATTTTAATTCAAGAGAGATGAAATTAATAATATAACTTTATTAAATTCATTATGCTTAGACATTACAAAAATAATTTATCTTCCCGTAAGTACACACTACGCGCGTTTCATGAAATATCTCAAAATGATATCGCATAAAATTGAGGAGCAAGTTTTCAAAAGTTGATACATAAATCCATTTTCCAAAAAAATTTAAATAAATACTGATTTAACATATGTTAAATGTTGCCACGAGGCATTCTAACCCCCATTCTCTTAGCAAACGTTTTGTCACATCGTCAGCCATTCTTTCGAAATAAAAGAAACACTTTCAGTACACTTTTAAAAAATAAATATTTATAAAACTTTAATGACACTGCTACGATAATAGACCAGCCGAACAATAAAAACACATGACATAAATGAACGGATAAGCATAACGCGGAAGAGGTCCACGACTGACGCCACATTTACGAGAACAGCGCGTGCGCAATTCTGCGTGCCAGCGATTTAGTACGGAGAACCAAACTGTTTGGTTCGTAGACATGAAACCTTCAAAAATATTTTTTGGTAGAGCAAACTAAATTTTTCGATTGATTGCCACTTTCTTTTCTGTTGTGCCAACCATACTTTAGTAAGGCCAACTAAAAATGCTTAACTAAATTATTTTCTTATTATTACGATATTATTTTTCTCAGTGTGGAATGGACAAACCAATCATAAATGTTAATCTTTATTAATTTTCAATACACAAACCTCGTCATAATTCCGCAAAAATAATCTCAAAGGAGATTCCGTCAAGACCATCCAGAAAAAAAGGGAAAAGACCTTCTGAGATACGACAGAAACAACAAATTTCCACTTACCCACAGCTCTCGTCACAAATCGATCAAATCAAGGATCCTCGTCGGGTCAAATTAAATAAATCGATCAATATTCTCGTCAACTTTTCCTTTATTCTCCACCAATTTAACAAAGGTAAGCCACTCTTGGTCACTCGACCAATTGCTTAACAAAATCCAATTCTTTACAAAAAAAAACTGTCGAACTCTCGACCAAAAATCTTACTCCCAAATACTCCCAATATATAAGCAACACTCGTACTACACAATGTCTCAACGCTAAGTCTCTCGACGCGAACATGTGATTTTCGGCGTCCCGGCGGCTAGTCACTCCTTCTTCCGATCGGCGGCGCCACCTCCCGGGCCCGAGATTCGAGCGCGTCATTTTAAACGGGGGATGCTTGACGACCACTTCGTCACATCATTAAAGGATGAGTTCAATAGAGAATCAAAAATCTCCTAATATATGAAGGAGGTTCATCAGATTTATCTGACAAAATGGAAGTAGGAGTGGACCTCGTACAACCAAGAATCTTTTATCGATCTTAAAAAAGCAATCAGTTTAGATCTAATTCAGGCAAATGTTTTAAATAATAAAGTTTTCAGAGAAATTGATTGAAATATTATTTTTAAAAAATTAATTCATTAATTGAAATTGTTGTAAATTTGTATTACTGAAAATTATTGACAAAATTTTAAATATTGTAGTAATTAAATTTTTCAGAATTTTTAACAAAAAAATTTTGAATTTTTGAAAAATTGAATTAAACTGATTTAAATAATTAATTTAGCGGAGAATTTTAGATACAACTTTTGAAAAGATATATTTAAGTCTTTTGAAATAATTAAAATTTGATGAAATATACAAAAAAATTTTTGGTAAATTTGAATTGAGGAAATTTTTTTTGGATTTTTTGATTTCAGAAGATAATTGAATTTAACAAAAAAATTTAATTGAGAAAAGTGTTTATTAATGGAATTTTTGAAGAATTTGATTAAAGTTATCAGAAATAAATAATTTAACAAAGATTTTCAGTTAAAAATTTGAAAAATTATTAAATTTTTAAATGATTGCAGTTACAATTGTTAAAAATAATTGAATTTTAGGAAATTTTTAATGGAAATTTTCATATCGACGCCTCCCGTTCATACAATGCTTATTCAAAAAACAAGACAATTCTTATTCCGATTTGCGTGCAATATCATTCCTATCCAAATGACAGTGCAAAACAATTCTTATTTAAAATCGCGTGCAATAAAATACTTACTGAAGTTAGCGAGCAATATGATGCTTATTCAAAGGTTAGTGCAAGACAATTCTTATTCCAAATAGTCTTTAAAATACATATTCCTTTTGAATGTAATTTGTTTTTAACAAGAAATATATAATACAATATATAAATAATATATAAATATATAATACAATACATTTCTTCTACATAATTAAATTGGTACGTATTTTAATATACATGTATTTTGATTTTGATAACCTAGAATACTAATATGTTTATAAAAAATTCGTAAATTAACTTAGTAAATGAATATTTTATACAATTTCAATTATATTGTTTTTCAATTCAATTTGTCTTTTCAAACTACATTTAAAAACTTGATAATGATTATTAATTATTAAGTATATAAAGGTTAAAAAATTATAAAAAATTATTTAGTCAACAGATTAATAATTATAAAAAATTAAAAAGATTATATATTATATATATATATAATTATAGAATCTTTAAAGATTTTTATATTAAAGTTTTTAAAAATAATCGAATTTTTTAAGAATTTCAATTTAAAAATTGATAAATAATTGAATTTTACATTTTTAGGATTAAAAGCATTATCAAAAAATTCTAATTGTCTCTAAAAATACTTGAATTTTGGAAAAGTT